TCCTCAGATCTTAGCCTCCTGAGTAGCTAGGATTACAGGCGTGAACCATCGGCTCAGGGCTCATTTAGCAACTTTTTTTTTTTTTTTTGGTCAGTTGTGGGGCCTGAACTCTGGGCCTGGGCACTGTCCCTCAGCTCTTCGGCTCATGGCTAGCACTCTACCACTTGAGCTACAGCACCACTTCTGGCTTTTCCTGCTTATGTGGTGCTGAGGAAGTGAACCCAGGGCCTCATGCATGCAATGCAAGCACTCTACTACTGAGCCACCTTCCCAGCCCCTCCAGCAACTCTTAATTCTCCTTCTTTCCGGAGTTTGACTACTCTACAGCTATACAAGTAGAACCAGCATTTATCTTTCAAAGGTTATTTGTTAGCTGGGTGTTAGCTGGGTGCCAGAGGCTCATGCCTTTAATCCTAGATATTTAAGAGGCTAAAATTTGAGGATCAAGGTTCAAAGCCAGCCTGGGCAGGAAAGGCCATGAGACTCTTATCTCCAATTAACCACCAGAAAACCAGAGTTGGTGCTGGAGCTCAAGTGGGAGGGTGCTTGCCTGGAGCTGAAGAGCTCAGGGACAGCGCCCAGGCCCAGATGCCAAGCCCCAGACCCAAAAAAAAAAAAAAAAGAAAAAAGGTTATTTGTTTTCTGGCTAGAGATCAGGGCCTCGTGCTCTCACACAGCTTTCACTCAGGGCTGTCACTCTACCACTGGGGCTCTTGGGATGACATTTTGCAAATTAACACAAGATATAATCTTAGACTTTTCTGTTTTGGTAAGCCTGGAACCAAGATCCTCAGATCTCAGCCTCCTGAGTAGCTAGGATTAAAATATAAGCCACTGGTGCCCAATTTTTCAATGGTCTTTTTTAAAAAAATTGTTTATTATGAAAATACCATACAGAGGAGTTACAATTACACGGTCACGATAATGAGCATATTTCTTATCAAGTATCGTTGCTTTCTCCTTTGTTTCCCCTTCCTATCCCTTCCCATATCCTTCCCCTTTCAATGGTCTTGAACAGGCTTCTTGCCTAAATTATAATCCAAATGTTCTTTTCTACCTTCTCTTCCACAGATCACTTATATTACTTCTCTAAGCAAAGGTTGTTTTTTGATTTTGTTTTTGCTGGTCCTGGTCATTGAACTCTGGGCCTGGGCAATGTCCCTAAGCTCCTTTTGCTCAAGGGCTAGGATGGCAGATGTGAGCCACCAGTGCCTAACAAAATTTTTTTTTGTGTGTGTGTGTACTGGACCTGGGGCTTGAAATCAGGGTCTGGACACTGTCCCTAAACTCCTTTTTATTTATTTGTCAGTTGTGGAGCTAGAACTCTGGGCTTGGGCGCTGTTCCTGAGCCATTTCCTGTTTCCTGGAGGTTAACTGGAGGTAAGAGTCTCACCGACTTTCCAACCCATGATGGCTTTGAACTGTGATCCTCAGATATCAGCCTCCTGAGTAGCTAGAATTACAGGTGTGAGCCACTGGTGCCTGGCTCGTAGCTCCTGTTGCTCAAGGCTAGCATTCTACCACTTGAGCTATAGCTCAGCTCATTTTCTAGTTTGTTTTCCTCTTCTTTTTTAAAATTTTATTATTTATTTATTTTGTTGGTCGTAGAGCCAGAACTTTGGGTCTGGGCACTGTCCCTCAGGTCTTCAGCAAGCCATAGCACTATTTCCGGCTTTTTCTGCTTATTTGGTGCTGAGGAATCGAACCCAGGGTCTCATGCATGCAAGGCAAGCACTCTACTACTGAGCCACCTTCTCAGCCCTCTTCTTTTTATTTGTATTGAGGTTTTGAACTCAGTCTTGCATTTGCTAGACAGGTGCTCTACCACTTGAGCCACATTATTTCCTGAATAGGGTCTTGCATTTCTGCCTAACCTAGCTTAGATCATGACCCTCCTATTTATGCTTCCCATGTAGCTGGTCTGGAATTAGCAACCTCTCTGTCTCAGCTTTCTTTTTCTTTTTTCTTTTTGCTGGTCATGGGCCCTGAACTCTGGGGTCTGGGCGCTGTCCCTCAACTCTTCAGCTCAAGGCTAGCACTCTACCACTGGAGCCACAGCGCCACTTCTGGCCTTTTCTGTTTATGTGGTGCTGAGGAATCAAACCCAGGGCCTCATGCTTGCAAGGCATGCACTCTACCGCTGAGCTACCTTCCCAGACCATCTCAGCTTTCTGAGTGCTTTGAATTACATGTGGGAACCCTAACACTTAGTACTGATTTTTTTTTTTTTTGGGTCCGGTCGTGGGGCCTGAACTCTGGACTTGGGCACTGTCCCTCAGCATTTCAGCTCAAGGCTAGCACTCTTACCACTTGAGCCACAGCGCCACTTCCGGCTTTTTTTTTCTGCTTATGTGGTGCTGAGGAATCGAACCCAGGGCCTTGAGCATGCAAGGCAAGCGCTCTACCACTGAGCCAACTTCCCAGCCCCTTGGTACTGGTTTTTTAAGTTCTTTTTTTTTTTTTTTTTGCTGGTCATGGGGCCTGAACTCTGGGCCTGCGTACTGTCCTTCAGCTCTTCAGCTCAAAGCTAGCACTCTACCACTGGCGCCACAGCACCACTTCCGGCTTTTTCTGCTTATGTGGTGCTGAGGAATCGAACCTAGGGCCTCATGCATGCGAGACAAGCACTCTACCACTGAGACACCTTCCCAGCTCGTGATTTTTTAAGTTTTTTTTTTTTTTTTTTGGGTCCGGTCGTGGGGCCTGAACTCTGGGCCTGGGCGCTGTCCCTCAGTTCTTCAGCTCAAGACTAGCACTCTACCACTTGAGCCAAAGCGCCACTTCCGGCTTTTGTCTTTTTGCTTATGTGGTGCTGAGGAATTGAACCCAGGGCCTCAGGCATGCAAGGCAAGCACTCTACCACTGAGCCACCTTCCCAGCCCCATTTTTTTTTTTAAGTTCTTGATTGGTGTTTTTTTCACCCATTTCTTATTTATTTATTTATTTTGTTGATTGTGGGGCCTGAACTCTGGACCTGGGCATTGCCCCTCAGCTCTTGAGCTCAAGGTGAGCGCTCTATCACTTCAGCCACAGCGCCATTTCTGGCTTTTTCTGCTCATGTGGTGTTAAGGAATCAAAACCAGGGCCACATGCATGCAAGGCAAGCGCTCTACCACTGAGCCACCTTCCCAGCCCCTCACCCTTTTCATTTTAAGAGTTGCATATATAACACAGGGAAACTTTGTTTAGTACATAGTGAATGCAGTTATGATTCCTCTCCTATAAAAAAAAGTGCTGAAGCCAGGAGCTGATGGCTTACATCTGTAATCTTAGCTATTCAGAAGGCTAAAATCTGAGGATTTCAGTTCAAAGCCAGTCCGGGCATGAAAGGCCCTGAGATTCATCTCTAAATAATAATACTAAGAGCCAGAAGTGGCACTGTGGCTCAAAGTGGCAGAGTGCTAGCCTTGAGCAAAAAAAGCTCAGGGATAGCACCCAAGCCCCGCGTTCAAGCCCTACAACTGGCCAAAAACCAAACAACAACCAAAAAAAAAAAAAAAAACCCTCAAAAGCTGAATCTCAGTGATGTATTCAAGCCCTACAACTGACCAAAAACCAAACAACAACCAAAAAAAAAACCAAAACCCTCAAAAGCTGAATCTCAGTGATGTCTTGTTTTAAGATAGGGTTATAATGCTTTAAGTGGTAATACAACTGATTGCATTTGTTTCTTACTTTTATCAGACCAAAACACAAAAGGAGAACTCTAGGGAAGAAGGAAACTCTTGGTAGACTACATTTTGATATTTTACTTAAGCAAAAAAAAAAAAAGAGAGAGAGATAAGCAAAGTAAAAGCCACTCTTACTAGCTTGTATGGTAGTATCGGTTTTCTAATGTACCTAGTTTTTTGTTTTTTTTTGTTGGCCAATCCTGGGGCTTGAACTCAGGGCCTGGGCACTATCCCTGAGCCTCTCTGTGCTCAAGTCTAGCACTCTATCACTTGAGCCATCATGATATTTCTGACCTTTTCTGTTTATGTAGTACTGAGGAATCGAACCCATGACATCATGCATGCTCTAAGCAAGCTCTCTAACATTAAGCCACATTCCCAGCCCTTAAGATGTAGGTTTTTTTTTTTTGGGTCCGGTCATGGGGCCTGAATTCTGGGCCTGGGCGCTGTCCCTCAGCTCTTCAGCTCAAGGCTAGCGCTCTACCACTTGAGCCACAGCGCCACTTCCAGCTTTTTCTGCTTATTTGGTGCTGAGGAATCGAACCCAGGGTCTCATGCATGCAAGGCAAGCACTCTACTACTGAGCCACCTTCTCAGCCCTCTTCTTTTTATTTGTATTGAGGTTTTGAACTCAGTCTTGCATTTGCTAGACAGGTGCTCTACCACTTGAGCCACAGCGCCACTTCTGGCTTTTTTCTTTTTGCTTATGTGGTGCTAAGGAATTGAACCCAGGGCCTCAGGCATGCAAGGCAAGCACTCTACCGCTGACTACCTTCCCAGACCATCTCAGCTTTCTGAGTGCTTTGAATTACATGTGGGAACCCTAACACTTAGATGTAGGTTTTTTTTTTTTGGGTCCGGTCATGGGGCCTGAATTCTGGGCCTGGGCGCTGTCCCTCAGCTCTTCAGCTCAAGGCTAGCGCTCTACCACTTGAGCCACAGCGCCACTTCCAGCTTTTTTCTTTTTGGTTATGTGGTGGTGAGGAATCGAACCCAGGGCCTCAAGCAAACCCAGGGCCTCTGGCATGCAAGGCAAGCGCTCTACCACTGAGCCACCTTCCCAGCCCTCAAGATGTAGTTTTAACAACTCTTACTGTGTTATGGACATTTTTCATATTGGTTTATGGAAGCATAGCATCTCCATCTATCCATCCATCCATCCTCTCTTAATAGACAGAATCTTGCCATAATCTTAATGCTTCAGCCTACTTTTATATTTTCTAAACAGACCCTTCCCTCCAAACTCACACAGTGGCTAGTTCACTCAGAGCCTCCTGATAGCGCATGTATTCACTCTGGCCAAAAACCTAGGGAAACAGAAAGAATAGTTAGTATCTCTCATTTCTGAAGCATCCCTTTAGGTCCTTGAGGGAAAAACTGGCTACCCCAGCTTACCCCAGTCCCATAGCGGGCTGTCTCATAGCCATCCAGCAGGGTATCAATGAGGGCCTTACGCACACCCTTAAAAGGAGTGGTAGTATTTCGCAGATCTAGCAAGTACGAGCGGAAATTCTTGCCCATTAAGGAACGTGGGTGACGGCCTTCAGCATAAAATGGAATATCTGAAAAGATAATAGTACAATGATACCCCTTCTCCTTTTTAGTCTTTTTTTTTAAATCTCTTTCTTTGTCAGTTTTTGGGCTTGAACTTAGGGCCTAGGTGCTATCTCTGAGCTCTTTTGCTCAAGATTAGTGCTCTACCACTTAATTGGAGATAAGAGTCTGACTTTCCTGCCCATGCTGGGTTTGAACCATGATCCTCAGTTCTCAGCCTCCTGAGTAGCGATAGCTAGGATTTTAGGTGTGAACCACTGGCACCAGCTCTCCTTTATTTTTTGGTCAGTCATGGGCCTTGAACTCAGGGCCTGGGTGCTGTCTTTGAGCTCTTTTACTCAAGGCTAGTCCTTTACCACTTTGAGCCACAGTTCCACTTCTGGTTTCCAGGGGGTTAATTAGAGATAAGAGTTTCACAGACTTTTCCTGCTTGGGCTGGCTTTGAACCGTGATCCTCAGATATCAGCCTCCTGAGTAACTAGGATTACAGGTATGAGCCACCGGCACCCAGCCTGGCTCTCCTTTAGTCTTTGTAGTTAATTTCCCAAAGTTAGACATATGCTTAATGAAATGTGAGATGAATTGGAGATAAATTCTAATATAATCAAGAGTGTAACTTGTGACCATGTAGTTATTAGGTGGTGGCAAAACAATTATAAGCTATACTCATGATACACAATGATGTCAACATCCTTTTTTTTTTTTTGGTTGGTTGTGAAGTTTGAAGTCTGGGCCTGGGTGTTGTCCCTCAGCTCTTCAGCTCAAGGCTAGCACTTTATCACTTGAGCCACAGCGCCAATTCTGGTTTTCTGAGTGGTTTATTGGAGATAAGCATCTCACACTTTCCTGCTTGGGCTGGCTTTGAACCTTGATCCTCAGATCTCAGCTTCCTGAGTAGCTACGATAAAAGGCGTGAGCCACCAGTGCCTGGCTCAACATCCTTTTTACAGTCCTACTTGCTCACTCGGGCTTTAAAATATAAAATGTTGTGGTAGAGATAGTGCTTATATGACAAATGGAAAGTGAAAAAAAATATCAAAGAACTATACATCTTGTCGGGCCTGGGACGGTGGTTCAGTGGTAGAGCGCTTGCCTTGCATTCATGAGGCCCTGGGTTCGATTCCTCAGCACCACATAAGCAGGAAAAAAAAGGCCGGAAGTGGTGCTGTGACTCAAGTGGTAGAGTGCTAGTCTTGAGCTGAAGAGCTGAGGGACAGCGCCCAGGCCCAGAGTTCAGGCCCTATGACCAGACCCTCCCCCCCCACCAAAAAAAAAGAACTATACATCTTGTGGTTTGTGGAATAATAGAGATGTTACCAGTCCTCAGTGCAAAAACAAGTAAATCAGGGGCTGGGAAGGTGGCTCAGTGGTAGAGTGCTTGCCTAGCATGCCTGAGGCCCTGGGTTCAATTCCTCAGCACCACATAAGCAAAAAGAAAAAAGCTGGAAGTTGAGCTGTGGCTCAAGAGGTAGAGCACTAGCCTTGAGTTGAAGATCTGAGGGACAGCGCCCAGGCCCAGAGTTCAGGCCCCATGACTGGACCCCCCCCCCAAAAAAAAGTAAATCACTCTCTAACTCACAAAACTAAAGGTGTATCAGGAAAATAACTTTGCTGCGTACCAAAGGCTCATGCTCCAGTTTTGACTACTTTAGAGGCTAAGATCTGGGGAAATCTCAGTCCATAGACAGCCCAGAGAGACAAGTTCAAGACACTCTTCAATTAACCAGCAAAAAGCCAGAGTGGAGAAAGTAGATTGCCAACCAGGAGCAAAAAAACGAAGTGTGAATCCAGGTGTTCAAGCCCAGTACTGGCACAAATGGGGGGAAAATGTTAAAAACAAAAATAAGCTGGATGCTAGTGGCTTACACCTATAATTCTAGCTACTAAAGGAAGCTGAGATGAGGATCTCAATTTGAATCCAGCCCAGGTAGGTAAGTCCATGAGACTCTTTATCCCCACTCAAAAGCCAGATAGGGAGAAGTGGCTTGAGTGGCAGAGTCCTAGCTCAGGGACAATGCACAGGCCGAGTTCAAGCCCGAGGACCAGCACACATGCACATACACAAAACACACACAAAAAATTCCAAGAAACAAAGGTCAGATTTGGGTACATTAAAAAACTCATCTAAAAAAAAAGCAAAACCAAAAAAGTTATCAAAAACAAAAGCCAGACTCTCTGGAGAAGAAATAACCTGCTTATATGTTTTCCTGTAAAAAAGAAACTAGTGGGGCTGGGAAGGTGGCTCAGTGGTAGAGCGCTTGATTGTATGTGTGAGGCCCTCAGTTCGATTCCTCAGCACCACATAAGCAAAAAGAAAAAAGCCGGAAGTGGCGCTGTGGCTTAAGTGGTAGAGCGCTAGCCTTGAGCTGAAGAGCTGAGGGACAGCGCCCAGGCCCAGAGTTCAGGCTCCACGATCGGACCCCCAAAAAAACAAAAAACAAAAAGGAAACTAGTAGTCTTAAAACTCTAGGAAATTCCTAGCAGCCAGGGAAGTGAAGAAGACAATTCTTAACATATAAAATGTGTTCATAACTCTTCTTCCCAAGTGATTTTTCCCCCTTTTTGGGAAAAAATGGATTTATCAGCTAGCCCTTACCAGACGCACGGATTGCATCCAGAGCTTTCATCCTGTATAGATAGTTGTAGCAACCTGTTGAGAGGAAAGACTCATCATCACCGTGAAAAGATCCCCCAAATTAGGTTGAACATTGGTGACTCATGCCTATAATCCTAGCTACTCAAGAGGCTGAGATCTGAGAATTTTTTTTTTCATGGCTGGAAGCCAACCTGGGCAGTAAAGTCCATGCCACTCTTATCTATAACCACTAAAAAGCAAGAAGTGGAGCTGTGGCTCAAAGTGGTAGAGCACTAGACTTGGAGCATCAAAGCTCTGGTACAGTGCCCAGGTCCTGAATTTAAGCCCCAAGAGCCTGATATACATGTGTGCTAGTGTGTGTGCGTGTGCTCACATGCACTTGTACGCGCACACACACTCGTGAGCCCGTGCATACACACACACCCCAAACTGTAGAGGGCCAAATAAACTGTCCCCCTGCATCTGGCATATATTCAATAACTGAGCAATAATTGAGGTTTCTCTCAGGGACTCATCCCTGTAGCATCCTCCACTTTGCCACCTACTTTGATTTCCCTGGGTTTCCAGTTGTAGCAGTCTTGCATCATCATCTGCAAGGAGCTGGGGTTCATACTTGATATCCTGAACCCTAGAAAGTCGAATATCAATCTCTTCTTTCAGGTCCTGCACATGTAGATAGATAAAAGAAAACACAATCACTAACCCTATACTGGTTTCCACCAATCTAGAAATAGGACAGAGCATGTAAACAACTAAGATAAACAAAGAAAGTACTTGTAAAGCTAGTGAAATTGCTAGGTTAAAAAAGAAAAGAAGAGAAAAGAAAAGAAAATAGCCGGGTGCCTGTAGTCCTAGCTACTCAGGAGGCTGAGATTTGGGGATTACAGTTTGAAGCCAGCTCATGCAGTAAAATCCATTAGACTGTTACCTTCAATAAACTACTAAGGAAAAGTTGGAAGTGGTGCTGTGGCTTAAGTGGTAGAGCACCAACCTTGAGGAAAAGAAGCTCACGGACAGGCACTGAGTTCAAGCCCCATGACTACCACCAAAAAAAAAAGAAAGAAAGAAAAGAAAAAAAAAAAAAAGAAAAAATCCTGACTCTATCTCCTAGGTCCTAGGATTACAATTGTGCACAACTATGCCTGGGTAACAATATTTTTGCTTTTAAGTTGGATTTAAAAGAACCTTTTTTTTTTTGATTGGCCATGGGGCTTGAACTTTGGGCCTGGGTGCTATCGCTGAGCTCTTCAGCTCAAGGTGAGCACTTTACCACTTGAGCTACAGCTACAGCACTACTTCCTTGAGCTACAGAACTACTTCCAGTTTTCTGGTGGTTAATTTGAGATAAGAGTCTCCTAGCTATTCAGGAGGCTGAAATCTGAGGATGGAGGTTCAAAGCCAGCCCAGGCAGGAAAGTCTGTGAGATTCTTATCTCCAATAAACCACCAGAAAACCGGAAGTGGCGCTGTAGTTTGAGTGGTAGAGCGCTAGCCTTGAGCTAAAGTGCTGAGGACAGCACTCAGGCCCAGAGTTCAAGCCCCACGATCAACCAAAAAAAAAAGAGTTTCACAGACTTTCCTGCCTGGGCTGGCTTTGAACCTTGATCCTCAGATCTCAGCCACCTGAGTAGTTAGGATTACAGGCGTGAGCCACCTGGCTTAGTTGTACATATATTCTAACTCAGGAAGTTCTTTATAATATGTAATCAAGATTCTTCTAAGCTGGGTGTGCCGGTGGCTCATGCCTTTAATTCTAGCTACTCAGGAAGCTGAGATCTGAGGATCACGGTTCAAAGCCAGCCCAGAATAAACCACTCAGAAAACCGGAAGTGGCGCTCTGACTCAATGGTAGAGCTCTATCCTTGAACAGAAGACCTCAGGGACAGTGCCCAGGCTCAGAGTTCAAGCCCCATGACCACCACCACCACCACCAAGAAAAAAAAAAAAGAAAGAAAATATGGATAATTACAAGCAATAATCTAGGCTGTATAGAATGTCCACCTGGCAAGCACAAGATACTAAGTTCAAATCCCAGTAACACACCAACATACAGATACAGAAAAAGCAAAAAAAAAGAAGCTATAATCTAAAAATCTGTGAGGAAAAGGAAGCCTATATAGTGTGTGTGTGTGTGTGTGTGTAAGCTGGTTGCTCACTCCAGTAATCCTACTCAGAAGGCTGAGATCTGGAGGACCGTGGTTTGTAGCCTGCCCGGGCAGAAAAGAATGTGAGATTCCAACTCCAAAAGAACCAGCAAAAAGCAGGGTTGGAAGTGTGGCTCAAATGGTAGAACACTAAGTAAGTTAAGCAAGTGTGAGGCCTACAGTCCAAGGATTGGCACTACCACACACACAGAAAAAAAATTTGGGAATTATGCCACCCAGCAGACCACAGGATTGCAAGAAGTCATATTAACAAAAATTAAAACAGGATTAGAAGTTTAGTTCAAGTGGTAGAGTACATGTGTAGTAAGTGTAAGGCCCTGGGTTCAATGTCTAGTATAAAGTGTCCTATTAACTTTTTGCTGGTCTTGGGGATTGAACTGTGGGCCTGGGTACTGTCCCTAAGGTCCTTTTGCTCAAGGCTAGCACTCTACCACTTGAGCTACAGCTCTACTTCCTGCTTTTTCTGTGCTTAATTGGAGATAGAGATTTTCCTGCCTAGGCTGGCTTTGAACTGTGATTCTCAGATCTCAGCCTCCTAAACAGCTAGGATTACAGATGTGAGCTACCAATGCCCAGCTCCTTATTGATTTTTTTTCCCTGCCAGTCCTGGGGCTCGAAGTCTGGGCATGGGCACTGTCCTTGAGCTTCTTTTGCTCAAGGCTAGCACTCTACCACTTGAACCACAGCGCCACTTCTGGCCTTTTCTGTGTATGTGGTACTGAGGAATCGAACTCAAGGCTTCATGCATGCAAGGCCAGGACTCTCCCACTGAGCTACCTTCCCAGCCTCCTTCCTTACTGATATCTTAAGAAATTAAAATAGGGCTGGGAAGGTGGCTCAGTGGGAGAGTGCTTGCCTCAATGCATGAGGAACTGGGTTCCATTTCTCAGCACCACATAAGCAGAAAAAGCTGGAATGGCGCTGTTGCTCTGTTGGTAGGATACTAGCCTTGGGCTTAAGAGCTGAGGGCCAGCGTCCAGGCCCAGAGTTCAGGTCCCATGACTGATTTAAAAAAAAAAAAGAAAGAAATTAAAATACATTTAATATTTGAAATTGGTCATTCCTATGTATAGTGTAACATTTTAAAAGTACTAAATGTTTTACTAATCAATTGTCCAGAAGCAACCATTATTATTACTTTCATATCTATCTCACATAGGAAGGTTGCCAGAGCCTCAGGAGATAAGAAAACCTTGTTTTTTGCAGTATAAGGGATTGAAATTAAAGCCTTACACATGCCAAGCAAGCACTCTTTCACCTGAGCCATGGGCCCAACCCTTGTAACACTTTTAACTTCCAATGTGAACTATATCACATACAGAATATAGACAATGTGCACATTTAAAAGTTGCTTTTTGCTGGGTGCTAGGGGCTTACACCTACTCAGGAGGCTGAGATCTGAGGATTGCAGTTCAAAGCCAGCTGGGCAGGAAAGTCCCTGAGACTCTTTAACTACAATGAACCACCAGAAAATCAGAAGTGGCACTGTGGCTCAAGTGGTAGAGCGCTAGCCTTGAACTGAAGAGCTCAGGGATAGCACCCAGGCCTAGAGTTCAAGCCCACAAACCAACAGCAACAAAAAAAGGTTGGGGGGGGGCACTGTCCCTTAGCTTTTTTGCTTAAGGCTTACACTCTACCACTTGAATGATACCTCTACTTTGAGTTTTTAGTGGTTAACTGGAGATAAGGCTTCAGGGACTTTCATGCCTAGGCTGGCTTGAAACTGTGATCCTCAGACCTCAGTCTCCTAAGTAGATTAGTTTTCAGCCACTGAGGTCCAGCACATTTTTAAAAATTATAAAGTTGAACCAATTTAGTTTAGGTAACAGAACTTTATCAGTGACATTCTATGTGCCTTCCCAACTGAATGCCCATTACCATCCACCTGAATGTCAATAGTCCTCTTACTCTACTGTTTTACCATGTGTCACACTGAATGGAAAATTTCTCTGCAACTGACTTTTTACTTTTTGTTGTGCTGGAGATCAGTGTTTCATACATGTTAGGCAAGTGCCCTATCACTAAGCTATACACAGCTATTTAAAAACAAACTTTTTATACAATAAAATGCATGAGTTTTGAGGAATATACTCATTTGACCAGCATCTCAGTTAAATAAATAGTATTTCATTTAAATGTCTTCTTACACTGTAAGTCATATCCCCACTTCTAGTTTCAGGCAACATGATATAACACTTCTACAGCTCTATGTTCTGAAATTTCATATAAAGATAATGGAATGATATGGCATCTACTGTATTGTAAATGAACTTTTGGCTTTTTTCACTTGGCATATTATTGAGGTGTCTTTGTAATTTACTTTTCCATTCACTTATAAGACACTTTAGTGGGGCTGGGAAGTTGGCTCAGTGGTTGAGCGCTTGCCTTGCATGCCTGAGGCCCTGGGTTCGATTCCTCAGCACCACATAAGCAAAAAGCCGGAAGTGGTGCTGTGGCTCAGGTGGTAGAGGGCTCGCCCTGAGCTGAATAGCTGAGGGACAGCGAGCACCCAGGCCCAGAGTTCAGGCCCCACAACCGGACACCCCCCCCCAAAAAAAAAAAGACACTTTAGTAACTTACTTTTTTTGTGTATGTACCAATCCTGGAGCTTGAACTCAAGGGCCTAGGTGTAGCACTCTACCACTTGAACCACAGGTCCATTCCAAGTTTTAGGAAGTTTATCGAAGATAAAGTTTCTCGGGGCTGGGAAGGTGGCTCAGTGGTAAAGTGCTTGCCTTGCATGCATGAGGCCCTGGGTTCGATTCCTCAGCACCCCATAAACAGAAAAAGCCGGAAGTGGTGCTTAGCTCAAGTGGTAGAGTGCCAGCCTTGAGCTGAAGAGCTGAGGGACAGTGCGCAGGCCCAGAGTTCAGGCCCAACACCCGACAAAAAGATAAAGAGTTTCTTATGGACTTTCCTGCCAGAGCTGGATCCTCAGATCACATCCTCCTTGAATAGTTAGAATCACAAGCATGAGCTACCACTTTTTCACCCAAAAATGTTTGGAGACTCATTTGTATTCATATATTTACCTTCACATAATATCCCAGAATATAAACATATTACTATATGCCTATTTTAAGTTATCATTATTTAAAATATTATTTTATTATTAAGGTGTTATACAGATGGATAACTGCTTCATAGCTTCATAAGTCAGGTAATGAGTACGTTCTTTTTTTCGGTTGGTAGTGGGGTTTGAACTCTGGATCTGGGGGCTGTCCCTCAGCTCTTCAGCTCAAGGCTAGTGCTCTACCACTTGAGCCACAGCGCCACTTCTGGCTTTTTTTTTTGCTTATGTGGTGCTGGGGAATTGAACCCAGGGCCTCATGCATGCAAGGCAAGCACTGTATCACTGAACCACCTTCCCAGCCCTATGCATGAGACTCTTATCTCGAATAAACTGCCAGAAGACTGGAAGTGGCACTGTGGCTCAAAGTGGTAGAACTCTAGCCATGATTGAAGAGCTGAGGGAGAGGCAATGCCCAGGCCCAGAGTTCAAGCCCCATAAGTGGGGGTGGGGGAGAAAAAGAAAGATTCTCATGGGACTTTCAATCCAGGCTTGCTTTGAACTGTGATCTTCAGATCTCAGCCTCCTGAGTAGCTAAGATTACAGGAATGAGCCACCAGCACCCAGGGACCTTTGCTTTTTATACCATACACGACACTATGAATATTTTTACATGTTTTCACACTAATTAGAAGCAAAAAAAAAGTACAACTTACTACATATTTTCCCTATGGTAGGAGCGGAGCTAGCAACACTGCTATGAATACTTTTTATTTTTTATTGTGAAAATACTGTATAGAGGGGTTACAATTACATGGGCAATTATTTCCCCTCCCCATCCTCCCCCTGCCCCCCTTGAATATTTTTATTACTTATAAACAAAACTTATATACTGCTGGGACATGGATTAGATACATATATATAATATTAGTACATAGTGCCCAATTATATTATTGTAAAGTGGTTATATCAATTCATTTTTTTGCCTGTCCTGGGGCTTGGACTCAGGGTCCAAAAATGTCTCTGACCTTCGTTTGCTCAAGGCTAGCACTCTACCACTTGAACCACAGTGCCACTTCTGGCCTTTTCTGTTTATGTGATACCGAGGAATCAAACCCAGGGCTTCATGCATGCTTTGCAAATATTCTACCACTATACCACTATGCCACATTTCAGCCCTCAACTTATTATCTTTTTTTTTGGTTGGTCATGGGGCTTGAACTCTGGGCTTGGGCGCTGTCCCTGCACTCTTCAGCTCAAGGCAAGCACTCTACCACTTGAGCCACAGCGCCACTTCCGGTTTTCTAGTGGTTTATTAGAGATAAGAGTCTCACAGACTTTCCTGCCCGGGCTGGCTTTGAACGGAGATCTTCAGATTTCAGCCTCCTGAGTACCTAGGATTACAGGTGTGAGCCACCAGCGCCCGGCTTCAACTTATTCTTTTATTAGTAATAGGTAAGAATTTAGATGACAAATGTTAATCTCATATAGTTTAGAAGTGACTTAAATACCCAGTTTTCCTAGCTTATGATATGCTGGATCTTGGGCCCTACATTCTTTTTGTGAAGCAAGTGGTGGAGAGAGCACTATTGAAGTTTCAGGCCATGACATTTTTGAGACTTTATATTTAGGGGGGTGCTAAAATTACTGCCCCAGGAGTTGAGAGACTTAGTACTCCATTAATATACTTTTCACTTACCATGTTACTGAATACATGCTATGTTTTGCCTTAGCTTTAAATTGTTGAGCAACAATGGCATGATGCTTTTATATATATTTTTGTGGTGGTAATGAGGCTTGAACTCAGGGTCTCACTTTTTTTTGTTTTTTTTTGTTGCCAGTCCTGGGGCTTGAACTCAGGACCTGGGCACTGTCCATGAGCCTCTTTGTGCTCAAGGCTAGCACTTTTATCCCTTGAGCCACTGCACCACTTCTGGCTTTTTTTTGGTAGTTTATTGGAGATAAGGCTCTCACAGAGGCTTTTTTGCCAGGGCTGGCTTCAAACTGTGATCCTCAGATCTTAGCCTCTTGAGTAGTTAGGATTCCAGGTGTGCGCCACCGGCACCCGGCAATACAATTTTTTTTTGTTGTTGTTGGTCCTTCAGCTCTTCAAATCAAGGCTAGTGCTCTACTATTTGAGTCAAAGTGCCACTTCCAGCTTTTTCTGCTTATGTGGTGCTGAGGAATCAAACCCAGGGCCTCATACATGTGAGGTAAGCACTCTCCCTCTGAGCTACTCTCCCAGCCCCAATACAATTATTTAAAAAATAATAAATAACTATTCTGTTTAAGCTCCGATCTAAAGAATGAATTAGCTGGGTAAGTGGATACCATTCTAAGTCACAGTAATAGCATATGCAAAGGTCTGAAATTCAACCAATGGAGCTGGATCTCAGTAATTGGGAAGATCTCGTATAAAAGAAGTTGGTAAAGCCAGCAAATGCCTATTACTGAGAAGACTAAAGCTATATGAGCATAGTAGTAAGATATCAAGAGTTCTGATTTAGATGTTAGGTTTGGGATTTCTATTAGAAAACTAAGTTGGAACTAGGCTTAGTGGCTCATGTCTGTAACTTGAGGAAGAGAGAAATCTGGAAGATTAAAGTCAAGGCTAGCTTAGGCAAAAAGTTAGACCCTATTTCAATCAATAAGCTGGGCATGGTGGTTCCGATACATATTCCCAGCTATGTAAGCATATGTAGGTAAGAGGATCTCAGTTTCAAGCTAACTCTGGGCAAAAACATATGAAATCCTACCTGAAAAATAAAACAGATTGGGGGTGGGAAGGTGGCTCAGTGGTACAGCGCTTGCCTTGCATGCATGAGGCCCTGGGTTCCATTCCTCAGCACCACATAAGCAGAAAAAGCCCGAAGTGGTGCTGTGGCTCAAGTGGTAGAGCGCTAGCCTTGAGCTGAAGAGCTGAGGGACAGCTCCCAGGCCCAGAGTTCAGGCCCCACGACCTGACCCTCCTCCCCCCCCCCAAAAATAAAACAGCTTGGCACTGGTGGTGGATACCTGTAATACTAGCTACTCAGTAGGCTGAGATATGATCATGGGTTGAAGCCAGCCCAGACAGGAAAGTCAGCCATTCTCTTATCTCCTCCAGTTAACCAGTAAAAACGCTGAAAGTACAGCTCTGACCTAAGTGGTAGAGTGCTAGCCTTGATCTTTAAATAAAGCTCAGGGACAGCATTCAGTCCCTGAGTTCAAGCTCCAGGACTGTAATTTTTTTTTCTGTTGAAGAAAAAAGGGACTGGGGGCTAGGAAGGTGGCTCAGTGGTAGATTGCTTGCCTTGCATGCATGAGGCCCTGGGTTTGATTCCTCAGCACCACATAAGAAGAAAAAGCCAGAAGTAGTGCTGTGGGTCAAGTGGTAAAGCGCTAGCCTTGAGCTAAAGAGCTGAGGGACAGTGCCCAGGACCAGAGTTCAGGCCCATGACTGACCAAAAACAAAAAAAAAGGAGTGGGTGGTTGGCCACAGGTAGCTCACTTTTGTAATCCTAAGTACACAGAAGGCTGAGATCTGAGTTCAGATCTCAGGCTGAGTGCTGCAGTTCAAAAGATTTGTAATCACCAATTAAACACTAAAAAATCTCAAAGTGGGGGGCTGGGAAGGTGGCTCAGTGGTAGAGTGCTTGCCTTGCATGCATGAGGCCCTGGGTTCGATTCCTCAGCCCCACATAAGCAAAAAAAGAAAAAAGCCGGAAGTGGCGCTGTGGCTCAAGTTGTAGAGTGCTAGCCTTGAGCTGAAGAGCTGATGGACAGCACCCAGTCCCAGAGTTCAGGCCCCACGACTAGACCCCCCCAAAAAAAATCTGGAAGTGGAGCTTAAGTGATAGAGTATTAGCCTTGAGCAAAACAAAACTAAATCCAAAAACAACTCAGGGACAGTTCCCAGGCTCTGAGTTCATGCTTTAGTACTGGTACAAAAAAACAAAAAACAGGCTGTATGGCTCTAAGTGTTAAGTAGGCCCAGCAAAAACAAGCCTTTAGAACCTCAATATCTCCCCTATCCCAAAAAAATATCTAAGTGGAAATATCAGGGAGGGCAGTTGGCTATATACGTATAAAATTCAGGAAAAGAGAGGTTTGGGGTACACACGAAATTTCATCCTCCTTAAAACCAAAGGAAGCAAACAATCACCTAAGGAGAGAATGTAAACAAAATCTGAGTGTCAGTAATCCTAGCTACTCTGGGGGCTGGGATCTAAGGATCACAGTTCAAAGCCAGCAGGCAGAAAAGTCAGAGAGACTTTAATCTCCAATTAATCACCAGAGAACCAGAAGTGGAGTGGAGTTGTGACTGAAAGTGGTGAGAGTACTAGCCTTCAACAAAAAAGCTCAGAGATAGAACCTGGGCCCGAGTACAAGCCCTGCCACTGGCAAAAAAAAATTAAATTAAATTAAGAATAAAAATTTTAAAAAATTCTGCAAAGCCAACCCATCTTACGGCTCTGGTTGCCAACTGTAATCTCAACACCATCCAAAAACAAAGCAAGCAAGTAACACTAAGTAACAGGAATTGTGAAACATTCTACAGCAGGGGTGATAACTTCAAGCCTCTCATTCTGCAAATGCAAAATCCTAAATTCTTGCTAAACTACTTTCTGGACCATATTGTGAACCAAATGAGACAAGGACCAGAAGCTTAACAGTTTATGTTCATGTTAAGTAAAAGAAGGCACTTGAAAACACGTAAATTAATCATCTTTAAAAATCTGGGAAGGATCTCATTTCTTGTCCCTAAAAGCTTGGAAGAAGGTTATTTTTGCCTGAAGGACCTACCTTGGGAGCATTGTGTCCCACAGGGACATGAGGTCCCCTTCTAGATTTCATTGCAAAGCGCATGATTTGCCTCTTCACAAAAATAAATAGCAGTACAAATACCTGTCAAAAAAAAGATAAGAAATCTGTAATAGATTTTTTTTTGGTAGCATGCGTTCATTCAAAATCCCCAGATTTAGGTACTCAAGGTTGGATGCTGGGGGCAAAACGTCAAGGATGGGGGTAGATCTCGGGAAACTAGGAGCGAGGAGGCGTGGGTTAGCGCCCTGGAACTTAGAAGGGTTCTCAGAAAGGGGCGGGTCTGGGGCTGTGCCTTAGCTCCCAGGTACCCCAGGGATAAGAATCAAAAGCCCAGGTGAGTGGATGAATGAAGTCAGGGAGTGACTCAAGGGTCTGGATTGGGTCAGACTTCAGGAATAGGGCGGGGGTTCTTCTCACCAGGCTCCCGTAGGCCATCACGAGCACGACATTCACCCCGGACAACCAGTTACTGCCGGACGCCATGGCCTCCCTCCCCGCGCAGAACTCGGGTTTTCCTGCTGCCCTGATTCGTTAGCCCAGACTGAGGCGAAGCCACGATGCCCAGGTTCCTTGCAGCTCCCCGGCCATTTCTTTAGGGGGGTAGCCTGAGCCAGACCCAGCCTGAAAACATGGCGGATGGGGTGGGGGGGTGGGGAGACGGTCTAGGAAAGTAGAACGACGCCTTCCCGCTTCCCCAGACACGTGACTCAGGCAAAGCAGTGGCACCTGGGAGCGGAGATGCGGAACTTCGCCAGCAAGAGGAAGCAGAGGCCACCAGTGCGTCACGTGGTGGAGGTGGTGGAGGTGGGGCTGCCGTGGAGGGGGCGGGGCTGACGCTTAAGTGCGGTGTTTCGTGGCGTGGCGGCGCGCGCACGCCGGCGTGCGCGTCCCTTTTCTCATCACGTGCTGGGGGACGCAGGAAGGCAAGTGGGAGGGGGAAGGCGCGAGAGCGAGCGCGAGAGGGAAAAGGAGAGAGGGGGTGGGGAGGAGGGAATCTTATATCACGTGACTAGGGGCGGCGCGGCCCGGGGTGTCAGTGTGGAGGAGACTGAGGTAAAGTTGGGAGCGCAGCGGCGTTGGCGGCGGCGGCGGCGGCGGCAGCGGCAGCGCGGCGGGGCCGGGTATTGTCCGCGGCCCCTTTAAATCCGCGATTCCCCCCCCTTTTACCCTCCCTCTCTCCCTTATCCCCGCCGTATCACCCTCTCTCGGTAGGGGCCCCACCGCTCCGTGTTTCCCCACTGTACACCCCCCCTCTTGTAGTTATGCGAGCCCTGGCGCCCCCACCTCTAGTCGGTCGCAGGAGGTTTTGTTTATGGTTGGGTTCGCGGCCTACTGGGCCGCGCCAGAGCCGGGGCCTCGATTTGGGAGCGTGGCCGGGGCGGGGCTTGGGACAGCCGGCGGGGGGGGGGGCATGCGGCTAGAGTCTGAAGGAGGAGAGCGAGAAAGAGCGCGAGCGAGTGAGGCCTGGGCCTTGCCTGAGGTAGGGCTATCTCCACCATGGCCGGTGCCTGTGGAGGAGAGGGCCTCCTCCCTTTCCAGCCCTCTGCAGGCCTCTTCTGATCCGGATCCGGCCTGGTTGGAGGTGGCGGAGTGTGGGGGGGGGGCGGTGGGAGAGGGAGGAAAGGCGATGGGGTGGAGCTGCCCCAAACTCCCCCATGTGGCCCTCAATTTGGAGTGCGGAGGATTAATTTGTTCCGGGTGGGAGGTGGAGAGGCGATTGGCTCGGTGGGCTCCTGATGTGGCGCGGTGGGGGGGGGCAGGGAGGTGAGCCTCCCATCCTCCGCGCGTGGGCTTGCGTCCCCTCTTCGCTCCCAACCTCTTTGTCAGCTCTTCTTGTTACCCTTCCGTTTTTCTTACCCACCCGGCTCTTGTTATATATTTTTTGCTGCTGTCTTTAGCTTCTTGTTATCTATAGTGTAGTTTGGGGTGCCATAAACAATTATGTTTTGAGGAGGCCGGGCATGGAGGCTCCCCTTAAGGTGTATTACGCCTAAGAGACGTCACTAGATTACTGGGGTATTTGTTCACTGTTGTCATAATGGGACAAGAATTCCAAATTTCTTCAAACCTTACCTTGAGGACAGATCATAAATTGCCTTACAAACTGATGTCACACACGGGCGACTGCTCCTTTTCCACTATTCTTGAAATGTAGCCACCGCTAGTGTAGGATGTGGTGGAAAGAGAAACATCACAATATCGCGTTTTTGTTATTGTTAACGGTTTGCCTTTGAGCCTCCGTGATTATTAGAGAAATCCTTTTTTGGGGGGGCGGTCTCCACTTTTCCTTCCTCATGTCCTGCTTTGAGGATACCTGGTGTTAATTGCTGGTGGTATTGGGAGTTGATGACAGCCAGCATTTCTAAAGAATTAAAACATTTGCCTCTATATGGGTTGATAAACTGCTTTGACGTCTTATATCCATTGTCTTTAGACTATATACCCAAGATTGTTTCTGTTGTGAATGGGAAGTATTGCTGGCATGTAAAATAATGGCAAAAGACCAAAAAATGTACTGTTTTTCATTTTTAAGGCCCCTCCTTGCTAATTGGGTCCTAACTGGGAAAGCCTCTTACTGGACTCAAGGTGGTGGGGAAGGGGACATGGAGGTCATTCCAACAAAGCTACTAGGGAAGTTAGTTGGCTCTGTTAGAGGTAGCAAACAGTCCAGCTTCAGCTTCTCAATTGTTTCTCAAATTAGATTGTGAGCTCCCCGAGGGCAGTAACCCAGTCATACTTTTGTATTTCCTGAAGCATTGGGCATTATAGTAAATACTCAATAAATATTTGTTATCTATTTTTTTCAGTAAAATTTCTCTGGCTATTTTTTAAGTAGCTGGTTTTCAAGAGCATTTTGTTGAATCTTGAATTTGTTCCTTGGTCTCCATTTAAGTATTATTTTTCAAGAAAGAGTAACAAGAGTCCCCATCTGTAGGATGATAAACTCTGTATTTGTCTCTGCTTGTTACTAAAAAGTAACGAATTTTGTATCTACAAGTGATCTATTCTAGATCACTTTTAGACCTGTTGCTAGGTGTTTTATTATCTAGGTAGTAAAATTCTCTGTCACACATTTTAAAGCATTTGTACTGGAAAATGAAGTTAATATAGCAAAGGAGTCAGGCTGGTTTTTTTCCTCTTGGTTAAGATGTTTTTCTGTCATACTGACTGGAAAATCATATTTGACTGGGAAAGTATGTGCAATGACTGACAGCTAATTCCATAGCTTGCTTATATCTGTGCTATAGCTTATTTTAAAAAATTATATGTAATGTAGAAATCAGTATTGTTAAGCTGGGGGTGGAAAATTTGGGAATGACTAATCTGTATTAGAAACTATTTTACAGTTTTAAAACTGGGTGGCCAGATGCTGGTGGCTCATGCCTGTAATCCTCGTTACTCAGGAGGCTGAAATCTGAGGATTGCAGTTCAAAGCCAGCCTGGGCAGGAAAATTCATTAACCACCAAGTTTCTGGAAGTAAAGTTGTGGCTCAAGTGCTAGAGTGCTAGCCTTGAGCAAGAAAGCTCAAGGACAGTGCCCAGGCTCTGAGTTCAAGCTCCAGGACTGGCACACACACACAAATACCCAAGAACAAGAAACTTTTCCTTTAGTCTTAACTTGATTTTCTTTTCCTTTTGTTGGTTTGTGTTTATGGAGTACTTGGTTAAACACTTAAGAAAAATTAAGTATAACATTTTAAGATGCCTGACTGCTTTGTAGCAAATACCACTCCACAAGTCTTCTAGTCCTGTACTAGCTCAACGTATTTGCAGGCCTTTGTGTGTACATATATATAGAAGGAGAGATAATGGGAAAAATAGTACTAGCTGGTCCTTGAAAACTCACATCTGTTATGCAACTCAGGAGGCTGAGATCTGAGAATTGTGGTTCAAAGCCAGTCTGGGCAGCAAAGTCCTTGAGACTCAATTCCAGTTAACTGCCAGAAAACCGGAAGTGGAGCTGTGGCTCAAAGTGGTAGAACTAGCCTTGAATGGAAGAGGTCAGGGACAGTGACTAATTTCAAACCCCATGACCAAAACAAAACACTAAAACGGGCTTAAGAATATTGGTAGAGGGGCTGGGAAGGTGGCTCAGTGGTAGAGTGCTTGCCCTGCATGCCTGAGGCCTGGGTTTGATTCCTTAGCACCACATAAGCAAAAAGAAAAAAGCCAAAGTGGTGCTGTGGCTCAAGTGGTAGAGCGCTAGCCTTGAGCTGAAGAGCTGAGGGACAGTGCCCAGGCCCAGAGTTCAGGCCCCACAACCGGACCCAAAAAAAAAAAAGAATATTGGTAGAGAATGTACTTTTCATTCTTTCAACTACATTGAAGAGCAACTCATTGACACAACTCAGTGAAGATTATCCATAGGAATGTTTGTTATGTTTTTCGATTACATATTTCTTTAGAAAAATTTTACTACCTCAACATCTAGCAATATTCTGGGTAATCTGGGATTACTTTGTATAATGTCCCATTAATGACAAAATATAATGGAGAACAGAAAATTTAGTCTGTTGGAAGGAAATGAAACTGCAAAGTAACCACTCATTTTTGTTTTTGTTTTTTTTTTGGGTCCGGTCGTGGGGCCTGAACTCTGGGCCTGGACACTGTCCCTCAGCTCTTCAGCTCAAGGCTAGCACTCTACCACTTGAGCCACAGCGCCACTTCCAGCTTTTTTCTTTTTGCTTATGTGGTGCTGAGGAATCGAACCCAGGGCCTCATGCATGCAAGGCAAGCGCTCTACCACTGAGCCACCTTCCCAGCCCAGCTTTAGTATCTTGCTTAAAACAATTTCCTAGAAAGTTCTTCAAAAAAAAACAACAACAACTTGGGGATGTACTTGGTTTATTAAGGTGAGTGTGGAGGTGTACTTGAAGTTTTTACCTGAAGAGATGAGACCAGCAGACCAATTGTAAGGCAGAAAGAGGCTGCTTACTTAGGTAGATTGAAAATGTCTGTGTGTATGTGTGTGTGAGAGAGAAAGAGAGTGATCTGGAATATAGATTTATTCTTCGTGGAAGGCTGATTTCTTCCCTCTCTCCCTGACTAGCGTCTACCCTGTAGCCCCCACTGGCCTTGAACTTGCTGTTTTCCCAGTTTAGCTTGAGCCTTCCTAGCTTGCTGGCAGGCTAGCTCCTAGAAGGCATTTATTTGGTTTCAGGCTTTGTTGACTACTTTTCTTTGTCAAAAGGACTTCACATACTTTGACTTGTATAGAAGACTTGATTGTTAACATTGTTTTGCTTAATGTTAAAAGTAGCTAAACCATGAAATATGTACACATACTTTATACTATACTAAATTGATGGTGGTGACAGCGTTGTGCTGAGGCTCTGGCTCCAGGCCTTGTGAGTGCATGTATACACGTTTACTGAGATAAATATCCAGCCTTATATAGGCAGTTCTTGTGGTATAAAAATGAAGTATCATCTGTAGCTCCTTAAGGAATTGATCAAATGAATTGTCTCAAGTATTGGCGAATCTTCTTGGTGTGTTTCTTTGAAAAAAGTGGTGTTGGGTGGTGAAACTTAACACATTTTGCCCATACTTGGTACCTAAACTCTTTTCTCTCTGTTTCAATCTTCAGTATCCTACCTTGTAAATACTGTTATTTGTATATACTGTAAATGATGACATCGGTGGGCACTAACCGAGCCCGGGGAAACTGGGAACAACCTCAAAACCAAAATCAGACACAGCACAAGCAGCGGCCACAGGTAAAGAATGCAAGTAATACAGATCAATGGGTAGGTTTGGTGGTTGATAGTTGTTTCCATGCAATTTATAACATCATTCTCTGCTTTGAAGTATTCATGTAGGTTTCTTACTGTTATCTGGTCCTTTTTACACTTTATTATTACTATTATTTTTTTTTTTTTTTTGTCGGCCGTGGGGCTTGAACTCTGGGCCTGGGCGCTGTCCCTCAGCTCTTCAGCTCAAGGCTAGTGCTCTACCACTTGAGCCACAGCGCCACTTCCGGCTTTTTTCTTTTTGCTTATGTGGTGTTGAGGAATCAAACCCAGGGCCTCATGCACAAGGCAAGCGCTCTACCACTGAGCCACCTTCCCAGCCCCTGCCCTCTGATCTTATTGAGACCTTACCTGATTTTTCCTTTCCCATGAGAAGTGGGCATTTTCATTGTGTTTGTGCAAAATTAACAAATTAGACACCCTTGAGCATTGCTCAGTTTTAGATCTCAAGGAATAAATTAACCACCTGAGTATTAAGTTTGGTTTAAATGAGATCTGTTTTCCATAACCAGTTTGGTGTGTTGGTACCTTATAGTGAATGAATCACTTACTTTTGGCTCTAGAATTGACTAGAATTTTCCCCTTACCCATTTTTCTATTATCTGTTTCCATTTGATTTTTCCAGTGGAATTTTAGTACTTAGAATTTTTTTTTTTTGGGTCCGGTCGTGGGGCCTGAACTCTGGGCCTGGCTCTGTCCCTCAGCTCTTCAGCTCAAGGCTAGCGCTCTACCACTTGAGCCACAGTGCCACTTTCAGCTTTTTTCTTTTTGCTTCTGTGGTGCTGAGGAATCGAACCCAGGGCCTCATGCATGCAAGGCAAGCGCTCTACCACTGAACCACCTTCCCAGCCCTAGTACTTAGAATTTAATTTCAATTATAACAATAAAATCTTGATGTCTTTATATAGCATTGGATACTCAGAAGATATAACGAAGCTATCTTTGAGCTAAATCTTACTTGCAATAAGAGGTAGCATTGGTAATTGAAAACATAGGAAACTGGTACAATTTTTGCTTTCTAGTACTATGGATTGAATTCTGCCTCATGCTTGGTTTCCCACACCCCCAGTCCAACTTTGCAAACAAATTAATGTGAATTAAGGGGCTTGTGTTTCAAGGTTAATGATGTAATTCTGAGCTGAAAGCTCTTTTAACTGAAGATTTGTGGAAAAACTACCTGTTCTTTGTGGGATTGTAGCAGTGAGACAGTTACAGCTTCAGAGTTGGAGGCATGGCTCAGGTGGTACAGTGCTAGCCAGTGACCAAAAATGTTTTAAGTACAGAGATTGGATTCAGACCAAAGAAAAGAAAAGAGTTATGGCTTCATTCTGCTTCTGATATTTTGCTGATTTAGGCATTTAAAACACAACATTATTGCCTGGTCTTTCATGTATGTGTGTATGCCAGTACTGGGGCTTGAAGTCAGGGTCTCCCACTTTTGCATGGCTTTTTTGCTCCAGGCTGACATTGTACCACTTGAGCCATACCTGCACTTCTGCTTTTTGTTGGTTAATTGGAAATGAATTACACAGATTATCTGTCCTGGCTGAGTTTTGAACCAGGATCCTCAGATCTCAGCCTCCTGAGTAGCGAAGATTACAAGTGTGATCCAGGACCCCATAGCTTGGGCATTTGTTTGTTTATTGTTTATTTCTGGTCTCAGAGCTTCAACTCACTGTGTGAATGCTGTCTCTGAGCTTTTGGTTGGAGATAAGAGTCTCACTGACTTTCCTGCCCTGGCTGGCTTCAAACCTTTATCCACATCTCCGCCTCTTGATTGCAGGCATGAGCCATGGGCACCGGGCTTGCTTGCATATTTGACAGACAAAAAGAAATGGGTAGTGCAGAATGTAGAGATTAACAACTTAGGTTCCCCTTATTTTTGAATTCTTGCCTCTTAAAACTTTTGATCATTTTCATTCCAAGGCCACTGCAGAACAAATTCGACTTGCACAGATGATTTCGGACCATAATGATGCTGACTTTGAGGAGAAGGTGAAACAAGTGAGTAACCACTATTTTGTGTAAGCTTAATGAAAAGAAATCAAGATTAAAGCATATTCAAATATTACAGATGCCCACTAGGATTTTTCTATATATTTTTTTCTTCTATATTTTTTGAAATAATTGGTCTAAAAAGGTTCTGAAAAATTGTTCTAAAAGGTGCTTTTGTTTTCTGATATACGGTGTCCTTTTGGATAGATAATCTGTTTAACAGTTTTATCTTCTGATTTTATTGAATGACTGTTGTATGTGTTTTATGTTTTTGGGTATTGAACCTAGGGCATTGTATATGCTAAGCTCTTACCACATACAACAACTTTAAGCAGCTATGGATCTCAGAAATGTGAACATTGATAATGCTAAATCCTGTGGCTAAGGTTTTTTGATTCTCCATTTGGTGCTTATTTATTTGATCGCTTTATACTTTGACCCTAATTATAATTTATAGGTGTTAGTATTTTGGGAATAGAACTATACATTTTACATATTTTGCTGGTACTGGAATTTGAATTCAGGATCTTGGACTTGATCGCTTGCCTGGCACTCCTCCATTTGAGTCATACCTCCAGCTTGACTTCTTGTTGGTTGTTTTGGAGATGGAATCCCTTGAATTTGTTTTGCTCTTGGCTGGCTTCTTTTTTTGTGTGTGGTAAAATCTTCTTCATGATGATTGTTGATTTTTCTCTTTCAGTTGATTGACATCACAGGCAAGAACCAGGATGAGTGTGTGATTGCTTTGCATGACTGTAATGGAGATGTCAACAGAGCCATCAATGTTTTGCTGGAAGGAAACCCAGACACGGTAGAGTGCTAATAAAATGTTTTAGAATGTGGGTTTTGGGTTGGAAGGCTAATCATCTAAAAATAGCTAGTAGGGCAAGTTACCTAAACCAGCATACTTTGTTGTCAAACTAGAGTAGGAAGATTTGGGGATTGGTTGCTACAGATAGTACTTAAAATTTTTGTACAACACATTGCAGAAAACAGGCAAAAAAGTAGGTGGCTTATTGTGAATTATTGCTGGTGTTTGATAGTCTAAGTTACTAATCATGGAAGATTTCTGCTTGTCTATTTTTATTTTTGTTGAGCAAAGTCATACTTTTTTTTTTTTTTGGTTACTCATGGGTCTTGAACTCTGTGCCTGAGTGCTATCCCTGAGCTCTTCAGCTCAAGGCGAGCGCTCTACCACTTGAGCTACAGTGCCACTTTCGGTTTTCTGGTGGTTAATTGGACTTGCCTGCCCAGGCTGGCTTTTAACTGAGGTCCTCAGATCTCAGCCTTCTGAGCTAGGATTCTAAGTATGAGCCACTGGCACCTGGCTTCATACTCATTTTGAATTCAGGATATACCAATCAGTGTCACCATAGCATCATATTAATATTATTTAATTGCCTGAACTTAATTTTGTTGCAGTAGCAAAGAAAGCATTTGTCAACCATAGACTGATAGAGAAGGATTGGTTACCCTGGAATTTAGCCAAGTTAGTTTCACTTTTTCCTACTTTATGAAAATTCTGTTTTTCTGTTTGTCTTTGTGCCAGATTATAGTTTTTTTTTTTTTTTTTTTTGGGTTGTGGGGCCTGAACTTGGCCTGGGCACTGTCCCTCAGCTCTTCAGCTCAAGGCTAGCACTCTACCACTTGAGCCACAGTGCCACTTCCGGCTTTCTTTTTGCTTATGTGGTGCTGAGGAATCGAACCCAGGGCCTCAGGCATGCAAGGCAAGCGCTCTACCACTGAGCCACCTTCCCAGCCTTAGTTACAATATTTTTAGGAACACTGCTTTATTAACCTTTGGGATATTACCATAGAGCTTTTTTTTTTTTTTGCCAGTCATGGGGCTTGAACTCAGGGACTGGGCACTATCCCTAAGCTACTTTTTGCTCACGACTAGCACCATACCACTTGAGCCTCAGCACCACTTTCAGTTTATTCTGTTTATGTGGTACTAAGGATTGAACCCAGGGCTTCATACATGCTAGGAAAGTACTCTAAAATAATTGAAGTTAACTTTTTTTTCCTCTCAAAAGGATAGTGCCATCAGACCCCTGTGGCTCATACCTGTAATCCTAGCTACTTAGGAGACTGAGATCTGAGGATTGTGATTCAAAGCCAGACTAGGCAGGAAAAGTCCGTGAGACTTTCCAGTAAACCACTCAGGAAACCAGAAGTGGTGCTGTGGCTCAAATGGTAGAGTGCTAGCCTTGAGCTGAAGAGCTGAGGGACAGCGCCCGAGCCCAGAGTTCAAGACCCACTATTTTTGAAAAATCACATCCCAGATAAATATGATGAGTACTTACAGTTTACTTTGGAATAATTTTCTCAAGATTTCTTTTTCTTCTTGGTGGGGGAAGAATCATGCCGGCCTCCCCCCCCCCTTTTTTTTTTTTGGTTGATCATGGAGCTTGAATGCTGTCCCTCTGCTCTTCAGCTCAAGGCTAGCACTCTACCACTTGAGCCACAGTGCCACTTCCGGTTTTCTGGTGGTTTTTTTGGAGATAGTCTCACTGACTTTGCTACCCAGGCAGGCTTTGAACCGCAATCCTCAGATCTCAGTCTCCTGAGTAGCTAGGATTACAGGTGTGAGCACAGGGCCCTTATCATGCCTTTTAAAGAGTTTATTTTTTGTCAGGTGCTAGTGGCTCACGCCTGTAAAGCCTAGTTACACAATAAACTGAGATCTGAGTGTCTGGTTCAAAGTCAGCCCAGGCAGAAAAGTCCATGAGACTCATCTCCAATTAAACATCAAAAAGCCAGGTGGAGTTGTTTCTCAAGTGGTGGTGCCAGCCTTGAGCAAAAAAGTTAGGGGACAGTGCCCAGACCCTGAATTCAAGCTCTAGTACCAGCACAAAATAATTTTTTCTCCCCCTCAGGTCCCATTTGTTTTACCTTACATCTTTTGTTTAGTGCTACAAGCCTGACTTATAAAAAATAGAAACAGAAGGGGGGCTGGGAAGGAGGCTCAGTGGTAGAGTGCTTGCCTTGCATGCATGAGGCCTTGTGTTTGATTCCTCAGCACCACATAAGCCGAAAAACCTGGAAGTGGTACTATGGCTCAAGTGGTAGAGCGCTAGCTTGAGCTAAAGAGCTGAGGGACTGTGCCCAGGCCCAGAGTTCAGGCCCCATGACTGACCAAAAAAAAAACAAAACAGAAATAAGCTACAGAATAATGTGTTTGTGCCACAAGTGAAATCAGTGGGAAACAAAGTCAGCTGGTAGGAATGTTGAATATTGAAGGTATAGGTCCATCAGAAAACTGATAGTGTTTAAGGAAGATCATAGTAATTCTTTTCCCTTATAGATTTGGTACCAGCAGTTAGTGTATTTATAGGGGAAAAAGAAAGGCGACAAGCTCCTTAAACTTGCCAGGTTTTGAAACTAGAGTAAATTTTGGTTTTAGTGTAGTTTCAATGGTTCATGAGGCAGATTTAGCTATAGAGTTATGCCATTTGAATTAAAGCTGTTGTGAGCATCAAATGACACCGCAATTGTATGTAATAAGAATAAGCTTGGGTCAGAAGAATGGGTGGAAAGATACTGCTGAGTTCTTGGTCGATACTTAATCTTTTATACAATTAGTAAACTTTATGGTGTTGAACTTGCATTATACTTTTAATTTTACTACTTTTTTCTTTTTTTATTTGTCCTGCAGTTTGAACCTCAGGACCTGTTTGCTATCCCTGAGCCTCTTTGTGCTTAGTGCTAGTGCTCTACCACTGGAGTCACAGTGGGACCTCCTGCTTTTTTGAGTAGTTTATTGGAGATAGTCTCATGGGAACTTTTATACTTGCAGTGGCTTTGAGCTGCAGTCCTCAGATCTCAGCCTCCTAAGTAGCTAGGATTACAGGCATGAGCCACAAGTGCCTGGCTCATAATTTTACTACTTTAGGGGGCAAGCTAGGGTTTGAACTGAGGCCCTCATACATATTAAGCATGTTCTCTACTATTGAACTATCACCCCAGTCCCAAATTTGTCCTCTTTTTAGGTTTATTTTTGTGGTACTAGGTTTTGACTCAAGGCCACATGATTTCTAAGCTTGAATGGTACTTTTGAGCAGTGTTTCCAGCTGTTTTTCACTAGCAATTATTAGGATAGGATATTGCTTCTAATCATCATCATTGGGATCACAGACATGTATCACTTCATCTAGTTTGCTCAGTGGAGACAGAGCCTTGCAAACGTCTTCCCAGACTGGCCTGGCACCCTCATCTTCCTATATACCTTGGGATGATAGGTATATGCCAATTTTGGGGAAAGGGATAATTTGGGGACATTGACCTGAGTTTCTCTCACATGCTAGGCAAGCACTCTACTTCTTGGGTCACATTTTCAGTACCTTTGCTTGTAGATATTTTTTATTTTTTTGTTTTGTTTTGTTTTGGGTCCGGTCGTGGGGCCTGAACTCTGGGCCTGGGCACTGTCCCTCAGCTCTTCAGCTCAAGGCTAGTGCTCTACCACTTGAGCCACAGTGCCACTTCCGGCACTTTTTTTATGTGGTGCTGAGGAATCAAACCCAGGGCCTCAGGCATGCAAGGCAAGCATTCTACCACTGTGCCACCTTCCCAGCCCTGTAGATATTTTTTAGATATAGTTCCATGATTTTACCTAGTATCAGACCAGACTTTGATTCCCTCTTACTGATTGTTCCTACATAGCTAGCACCACAGGTTCATACTACTACACTGAATTTACTATTGAGATAGGGTTACAATAACTTACCTAGAGCTTCCTGTGAACCATTAGCTCTGTCTCCCACATAGTATGGATTATAGGCATGGACTAGTATATGAATACCTATCCATTTTTAAGTATTTAATTCAGACATTTACATTGTGGGCAATCTTCACTCCTATTTCCAGAACTCTTAGCAATCTCAAATAATTTGGTATGCATTAAATAACTACATTTCTCTCTTTTTCTCCAGCCCTTAGTAACCTCTTATGTTTGTGTGATTTTACCTCATATAAGTAAAATTAATATAGCATTTGTCCTTGGTATTTTTTTCTTTTACTGATTTCACATAGCATGTTTTCAGTGTTTATATTATACATAGATCAGAATTTCATGGCTTGAAGGCTGAATATACATTGTAGGTATATGCCACTTTAAAAAATATCCATTGGGCTGGGAAGGTGGCTCAGTGGTAGAGTGCTTGCCTTGCATGCATGAGGCCTTAGCACCACATAAGCAGAAAAAGCCAAAAGTGGCACTGTGGCTCAAGTGATAAAGTGCTAGCCTTGAGCTGAAGAGCTGAGGGATAGCACTTAGGCCCAGAATTCAGACCCCACGACTACCCCCCTCCCCCCAAAAAATCCTTTAATCTGTTAGAATTATTTGGCACTAAGTTACTTTATAAGTTGGTCAATAGTGCCACCTCCCTATCCAGCTTTGTTGTTGGTTGTGGGGCTTGAACTTAAGGCCTTGGTGATGTCCCTGAGCTCTTTGCTCAAGGCTAGTGCTCACCACTTTGAACTACAGCACCAAGAGTGATACAATGTGATCCCATTATTAGATAATACAGAATTATTGTTGATTTTTTTTTTAGGATTAGTATTGAGTCTTGTTAAAGAATGTCCTTTAAAAGAAGCATATTTGTTATACACATGCCGGAAAACTACGGTGAAAATCCTTGGTGTACAATTAATACCCATTATAAAAAAGAAGAATGACAGAAAGTAAAAAAAAGTTCTGTTGAGGGTAGGAGTCGGAGAAGAGAGGAGGATAGGCAAATGGAGAAGGTAAATGATAACTATGGTTCAAAAGAGAAGATTAAGATAAAGAGGCAAATTAGATTTGGATATTTTATATACGTGTATCATGTATTCTTTAAAACTAAGCTAATGGGGCTGGGAAGGTGGCTCAGTGGTAGAGTGCTTGCCTCACATGCATGAGGCCCTGGGTTCGATTCCTCAGCACCACATAAGCAGAAAAAACCGGAAGTAACCCTGTGGATCAAGTGGTACAGCGCCAGGCTTGAGCTGAAGAGCTGAGGGACAGTGCCAGGCCCAGAGTTCAGGCCCCATGACTGACAAAAAAAAAAAAAAACAACAAAAACTAAGCTAGTAGAAAAAAAAAGGATAATTAAAAAAAGAACCAGAGGTGTGGCTCAAGTGGTAAAGCACTAGCCTAGAAAGTATGAGGCTGAATTCAAACTCTAGTCTCCAGTGCTCTCTCTCTCTCAACAAAACAAAACAAAAAAACAGCCCTTAAAGAGAGAAAGAGAAGTAGGCCGGGTACCAGTGGTCAAGTCTATAATCCTAGCTACCCAGGAAGCTGAGATCTAAGGATTCCAGTTCAAAGCCTTGAGCAGAAAAGTTCAGGGACAACAGGCTCTGCGTTGAGGCCCCACAACCAACAACAACAACAAAAAGAATTAAATATACTCAAGGAGACTGAGATCTGAGGATCATGAGGAGCAAAGTACATGAGACTCTTACCTCCTTAACCACTAGAAAACTGGAAGTAGAGCTGTGGTTCAAATTAGTATAGTGCTAGCTTTGAGCAAAAGAGCTCAGGGACAGCACCTAGGCCTTGAGTTCAAGCCCCACAACTGACCAAAACCCCAAAACTGGAAGTGAAGGTGTGGTTCAAGTGGTAATGTGCTGGCCTTTTTTTTTTTTTTTTGGTCTTGGAGCTTGAACTCTTGGCCTGAGCACTGTTCCTCAGCTCTTCAGCTCAAGGCGAGCGCTTTACCACTTGAGCCACAGTGTGGTTAATTGGAGATAAGAGCCTCATGGACTTTCCTGCCCCGAGCTGGCTTTGAACCATGATACTCAGATTTCAGCCTCCTGAGTATCTAGGGATTACAGGCATGAGCCACCAGTACCCGGCTTCAGTTCTTTTTTTTTCTTTGTTAGTTATGAATAAAAACGTAAAATATTGGGCTGGGAAGATGGCTCAGTGGTAGAGCGCTTGCCTTGCATGCCTGAGGCCCTAGGTTCGATTCTTTAGCACCACATAAGCAAAAAAGAAAAAAGCCGGAAGTGGCCCTTGTGGCTCAAGTGGTAGAGTGCTAGCCTTGAGCTGAAGAGCTGAGGGACAGCACCCAGGCCCAGAGTTCAGACCCCACAACCGGACCCCCTCAAAAAAAGATGGAAAAAAAACCCCAAAAACGTAAAATACTGGGTGTTGATCATTCCAAAAGAAATTAGTTTTTTCAGCTGAGGGAGCACACTTAATAAGGACAGGTTACTAAGTTCTGTGATACACCGAGCAACTGAACCTGGGGAGAGATCTTTTGGAAGTGATCCCTGAAATCCATTATTTTAAGTACCTAGCCTGCAAAAAGAACATTTAATTTTAGCTAAATGCAGCAGTATACATTGTTAACCCCAGCAATTCAGGAGGCTGAGTTGGTTAGATTGTGAGTTTGAGGTTAGGGACAGTATAGTTGTTCTTGATCTCAAACAATAATTAAAGAAACAACAAAAGAACTTCAATTTTGGCCAAGTGCTGGTGGCATGAAGTCTTGATCTCAAACAATAACTAAAGAAACCACAAAAGAACTTCAATTTTGGCCAGGTGCTGGTTGCTCATGCCTATAATCCTAGTTACTCAGAAGGCTGAGATCTGAGGATTGCTGTTCAAAACCAGCTTGGGCAGGAAAGTCCATGAGATGCTTATCTCCAATAGCCACCAGAAAACTGGAAGTGGTGCTGTGGTTCAAGTGGTAGAGCACTAGCCTTGAGCTGAAGAGCTGAGGGACAGCGCCCAGGCCCAGAGTTCAAGCATCACAATCAACAACAACAAAAAAAAGAACTTCATTCTTGGCAGATAGGTATAAAGTTCTGCCTTGTTTCCTAAATATTAGTTGAAAGTATCTTTAACATGAATGTTGAGAATAGTTTTCCTGATCTATACCCATATTGATTAGGCATGCATGCTTTACCTTCATTTAGCATTCCTGGGAGATGGTTGGGAAGAAGAAAGGAGTCTCAGGACAAAAGGATGGTGGACAGACGGAATCCAATGAGGAAGGCAAAGAAAATCGAGACCGGGACAGGGACTATAGTCGGCGACGTGGTGGGCCACCAAGACGGGGAAGAGGTGCCAGCCGTGGAAGAGAATGTATGCATGGGGCTTTATCAAAACTGTGTGTGGGTCAGTGACATCTAGATTCAGGAGATGTGCTAGGCAGTACCCAGGGACGATTATACTTCCTTTTATGCTTTCTTGTCCCCTGTTAGTCTGGCATAAAATTTCTCTGTAGTCATTTGTAAAGTTATTGGATTCATAATCCTCTGTTGTGGCTTATTATTACCATTTCTTCATATCCCATTCTTCCAGCTCATATTCTCTTAATTTTGTCTCCCTAAAGTTTTTTTTGTGTGTGGGGGGGGGTGTCAGTTATGGGGCTCAAACTCTTAAGGGCTTAGGCACTGTCCCTGAGCTTTTTCACTCTACCATTTTGAGCCACGGTGAGACTACTTTCCCAAATCTTTATTATACCAGCTTTATATATTTATACATAAATATCTATTGACTTTTGTTCTGGTTGTGTGTGTGTTTTGTATTTTAGTTCGGGGTCAGGAAAATGGATTGGATGGCACCAAAAGTGGAGGACCTTCTGGAAGAGGTACAGAAAGAGGCAGAAGAGGCCGTGGCCGAGGCAGAGGTGATCAGTTTTTTGGGGATGGATATTGAGGGCAAGTTATTTTTTAGTTCCATAAGGGCCAATTTATTTGAAAATAAATTAATATGGCATGTGGTTATCTTAGTTCATAAGATGGTAAGCCTATTTTAGAGATTACTGATGTGGAGAATAAGAAGGTAAATGTCAAAATCCCTCAACAAGAATGATTGTCATATTTTAACTAATTTATGTTCTAGATTGGACTGGAAAGGTAAAGCATCTGATATATCAAATATTATTCCAAAGCTGCTTTAGCTGTTGAGATGATTTTATATTTACTTCTAACATACTTTCTCTGCTCTTACCCCACTTAGGTGGCTCTGGTAGACGGGGAGGAAGATTTTCTGCTCAAGGGATGGGGTGAGTTTCTTTGGCCCAGTGTTTTTAAATTTTACCCTGAAAACAATAGGCAACCTTAACTAAAATGTTTAGAATGATTTAATGAGACTAATTAGATGTATAGTTTTAGGGTTTATTTCCAGACATATACATTAACTACCTGGGTAATCTCGCTCTCTCTCTGTCTGTCTCTGTATGTGTGTGTGTGTGTCTGTATGTGTGTGTGTGTGTCTGTGTGTGTGTGTGTCTGTGTGTGTGTGTCTGTGTGTGTTCGTTCGGGCTTGAGCTCAGCCTGGGCATTGTCCCTCAGCTCTTCACCTCAAGGCCTAGTGCTCTGTCCTTGAGCCACAGCACTACTTTGGGTTTTCTGGTGGTTTATTGGAGATAAAGAGTCTCACAGACTTCCTGCCTGGGCTGGGTTTGAACTGTGATCCTCAGATCTCAGCCTCCTGAGTAGCTAGGATGACAGGCATGAGCCACCAGTGCCTGGCTAATTTATCTTTTTATCTTTCAGTATATGCCATGTGTAATGACTTCTGTGTGTATGCGTGTGGGTGTGTATGCACGCGTGTGCATATCTGTCTACCTGTCTGCGTGTGTTCACATGCGTACATTGATACTGGGTCTTGAGCTCAGGACCTTGTGCTCTTGGCTTCATTGCCTTACCACTTGAGCAATGTTTCTACTTTTGGCTTTTTGCTGGTTAATTGGAGATGAGACTCTCATGGACTTTCTTGGCTTCAAACTTTGAAGCCATGATCTACAGATTTCAGCCTTCTGAGTAGCTAAGATTATAGGTATGAACCACTGGTACCCAGATTACATTATTTTTTGGGGGGGGTCCGGTCGTGGGGCCTGAACTCTGGGTCTGGGCGCTGTCCCTCAGCTCTTCAGCTCAAGGCTAGCGCTCTACCACTTGAGCCACAGTGCCACTTCCAGCTTTTT